ATATTTTCTCTCCTGTTTTCTTTTTATTTAAGAGGTACGAGTAAGGGGGAAACAACATTTTAGGTACTAAAGACACGACCAGAAATCTGTCTAGTTTGCCATCCTGTCTCTGACAGGAGTACCTGATGTTTTAGATAAAGGTGCAATGAACTCAATAAAGGAAAATTATGGTAAACCAGCATGTAGAGCAGGGGTGGGCAATAAGATGGCGGCAGTTCACCAGAGTTAGCCTCTGGTGGGCTGCTGCCACTATATTTACCTGAGCCTCCGCAGGTCCGGGTGCTTGCAGCTCCAATTGGCTGCAGATCACTGTTCCTGGGAAATGGCATGGACCAGGACAACACTTCCTGCATCTCCCATTAGCCAGGAATGTCGATCCGCAGCCAATGGGAGCTGCCATCGCCTGTACCTAAGGAGGTGCAGGTAAATACAGCAGTAGCGGCAGGGCTAACCCTGGCAAACCGGATCTGACCCATAGGCCGGTATTTTCCCGCTGCTGCTGTATAGTATGGTCAAGCTAACTCAGAGAGTTAGTGTTTGGTGTACCTCTTGAAATACATTGGCTTTTATGCTTTTTTTCATTCATATCCTTATTTTTAATCTAATCCTTGTTTTGAGTCCTCTTAATGACTCTGCCTCAATAATACCACATGGCAGAGTTTCACAGCGTAATTATGAGCTATCTGGTAACAGGTAGAATACATTCAGACAACAGGTTCACGAATGTGTCTGAGCAGTTCAGATTGTCCTTTGCAATATTTATAGCAGTGCAACTGGCTATACTGCTAAGATGTTTGCCAAAGAGCAGTGACAATGGATGGAAAGATGACCTGGCAGATGACACAGAATGGATATCTCACATGACAAAATCTGACCTAAGAAGGGTAAGATTGGGAGGGCGGGACAGACATGAGACCATTGTCGGAGTGGACAACAGGGCAGTGAGATGAGGTCTCTGAGGTAGGCGTAAGGAAATCCATGAAGGGTTTTCAAAATGAGGACTCTTATGGCAACACAATCTTTTTACTCCTCCTCTCTCCCCTGACTGGAGTCTTTTCCCACAAACCCAATATTAGAGGACCACTCTGTTCCCCCACCTCACAACCTGGAGTTAGTCCTCATGCTGGGGTCAGGTCTGTTTTGAGAGGAAACATTGCTTCTGGACCTACCCACTCAGTGTGACTCAAAATGATAGCCAGGATCTTGGACTACTGGCCTTCGCTAGCCAGTGCTATGCAGAAGTCTGGACCAGTTCTCTAGGGGGGAAGGGGAACAGTCCATTTAAGGTTCCTTTGCTCAAAGTATAAATCACCCAAAGAGGAATAGTGAAGGTGAGTGACCACCTGAGATTTAAATTTGGGGCACAATTTAGGGGTACAGGTTTCCAAAGTGCCCATAAGAATTACCTGCTTTGGCCATAAGTAATCAGCATTTAGGCTGTGTCTAGTGTGGTGTCCCATGACGCTTCATGTGTTAAGAGGACCTGAGATCGGCTACGTTTGGAAAGCAGGTTGTTCTGGGTAGGGATGTAAGCCTAGGCTTATCGGGTAGTCGAGTCACTGCTCGACTAGTTGCTTCCTCCTCCTGTTGCTGCCTCTGTATCAGAGACACCAACGGGGGCAAGCAGGAGCTGGTGTTAGGGGGAGCTGGCTTAAAAGCAGGTTCTCCCCAGCACCGTCTCAGCGGGGGGCAGGGAAGCCGGGCAGAGGCACAGTGGGGGAAGTGGTGCGAGTGGGCACTGAAGCAGTCCCCACTCACATGGGGTCCCAACTCCTGCGCTTCTCCCTTTGAAATCTACAAGAGCCGCAGGCAGCTCTTGTTAATTTCAAAGGCAGAGGCACAGCGGGATAGCGCGTGCCCCCCCTTACCAACTAATTGAGTAGCTGATGGAAATTCCATCAACTGCTTGATTAATTGAAATTTAACATCCCTAGTTCTGGGGTTTCTGACTGTCTTGTGTGTTTCAGGTTAAGCAGTGTGGCAACTCCACTGTGGAGACTCGCCTATGAAGAGCAGTTGAAGGTAAGATGTGCTCACAAGGAGTTTCCTCCACCACCCAGTCCCTTCCCACCTCGTCCAGGGAACGTCCTTAGAATCTTTCATCTCCACGTAGTCATCCATTTACTGCCCGTTTCATACTTTACAAGTAACTGCGTAGATAGGTCTTTATTATAATGAACTGGACAGAAGTTTTTTGTGTATCACTTCCTCTACTATGGGGAATGGGAGCTGGTCATCTGTATCCTAGGCCCTATAGTATTGTGGCTTGATTATTCGATTATTGAGTATTTTCTCTTTCCCCATCGGGTGCCCTCCCCCTCCAGTTGTGACAAGCAAGCTTGCTCCAGTGCAATGTTAGTGTCTGAGAACGTCTTTGCAGGTGAAGGCTGAAAGTCAGAAGAAAGTGTTGCAGACGCTGGCCTCTCGTCTGAGGGAGCATGGCACAGACAAACTGGAAATCACACAGAGACCAGATGGGCTTTGCTGTCCCCTCCATCCTGTGGTCCCCTCTGTGAGTACTGGAGAAAACTCTTTTGTCAGAAGAGCTAAGCCTCTGACAAATCTCTTCCCCTGTTTCTGCTGACTACCATGATGGGGAAAATAGCTCGTCTCATTGAGAACAACCACTGTGAGTCCAACTCTTGACAAACTGTCTATTCAACATTGCGTGAGAGTCCTGGGCTGTGAGGCAGTTTTACCCACTAGAAACCCCTGTCCTGGGTCCAGTCCCAGACTCCTGTGTGCATCCACTGGCAGTAGCCCATGAAAAGCTCCAATCATCGTCCCATCACTCACTGCCTTAAGTATCCCAGCAATCTCAGTTTCTACTAAACCGCTGCCTTGTATTCGCAGAGCACTACTGGGGAGGAGGGGATGGCTAAACTGCTCCCCTGGTAAACACTGTGGGGTGTAGGTACTGGGACACCCTGCCATCCAATACTCTTTAAGAAGGCATATGTTACATCTCAGGCTGCTAATAAAATGCCCAGAATTGATTCCCACCTCCCATCATTTCTTGCTTCCTGGCCTCACCCTTTCTTCTTCTCTCCCCAGCCCATCGTGAACGGCTACCGAAACAAATCCACATTCTCTGTGAACCGAGGGCCTGATGGGAACCCCAAAACTGTGGGGAACTATGTGGGAACTGGCCGAGGTCAGTGCGTGACCAAGCCCAAGGCTGAAATCTGCCTATATCCTACTGGGTCACAGGCATAGTCATGGTCCTTTGTACTGTGACAGTTTGGACCTAATTGTGTGGCAAGGCCCTGGTGGTGACTTTTGATACATTTAAAAAAAAAAAGGTTTCTTAGAAATTTGGAAGTAAACTCTGCACTCAAGATAGCAGCCCCCGTTATGTCGGTTTATGCTGTACTGTTGCTATTATGCTAGGCCCACATTTTCAGTGCACTACAGCTGTGTGTGTTGACAAAGGCTAACCATGGGGCAGGGCAACATCAAAGGGGAAGCTGGAGGGTTTGGCAGTGGGGTAAGTAGCAGCTGTAGCTTGAGCACCTGAGCAGTCATGGGGACGGGGAGACCGTTTGGGATTGTGGGATAGGCACCTCAGTTGGCTCTTCCTGCTAAACGTCTGGTAGTGAAATCATTAGCAATGTTGACCTTTAAATTGTCATCTTTGGGCTTCATGATCAACACTTCATAAAATGAATGGTCCGGTTCACACCTCTCTGAGCTGTTGCTCCCAGCTGTCTGTAGGCTCAGGAAGGCACTGCTGTTTTGTTCATACCCCGGGCTTCTCAATGTGGTGGGGGTAATGCCCCCGATGAGGGCATGATTTCTAGAGCGCATGTGCTGGTGAATTAACTGGTCTGTTGAGACCCTATCGGTGAACACTAATGGTTCCCACATGTGTGTTAAATGTAGTATTGCCTCGGACAGCATTAGGAAGAGCACTGCATTAAAGCACTCTGGAATCATTAGTATACTCCACTGGGGCCTACGTCGGCCAATTAAAGCCCAACACCTTAGTGCACTTCTGAAATCACACCTCCGTCGGGCGCATTACCCCACTGTCCTGACAAGCCCTCCGTTCACATATTTTACCTTTTCTTTGTAACTGAGAGCTGGCCAGATTTTTTTTTTAAGAAAAATTTAAACTCCAGATCAAAATTATGTGGCAAGGGTGAATTCCATGGGGACAGTTCGCTGCTATGGACTATAGGGGGTCTTAGATATAGCCTAAAACCAGAGCTCTGAGGTAGTTGAGTTGCAAGTGGATCACTGGTAAGAGGCTAGATTAAAGAGGAAGTGCAGTCTCATCCAACCAAACTCAGTTTATTTTCCCTCTATATTTTCAGCCTTTTTCTAGCATGCCATGCTGCAAACATGCCTGATGCAGACTTGTGCCCTGGGGGCAGGATCATGAGCCTTTCCATTTGGAAATAAATCTCCTAGGTTCATTTGGCTTTGCCTTTTGATTCCTGAATGGCAGGGTTTGGTCATGCCACCGTAAGCCTGTCTAAGACATGTCAAACTGTCTAGGCTCTAGACCCGTTTCATTAGTTCCCGAGTTGCAATACCAATTCACTCTGCTTCTGCTATCTTACTAAAAACACCTTGCTCAAAGGAAGCAGTTGCATTTAAATGGATTTAAAGAAGCAGAGCACTAATAATTTCTTGCAAACTCCTGAAATTACAACATAAAAAAGGACAAACCTGGTACTTCATGGAGGCTGCCTTCTGCCCTAACTCAAATAAATAAGATGGAGTGGAGCAATTGAGACACAAGTGTGTCTGTTGTTCCACTGCTTCAGAGGGGTAACTGAGTTAGTCTGTAACTGGAAAAACTTAAAAAACAACAAATAGTCTAGCAGCACCTTAAAAACTAACAAAAGATATAGACTGTATCATGAGCTTTTGTGGGTACAACCCACTTCAGGTGACTGGAGTATTAGAAGTCCAGATCCAAGAATAAATAAGGGAAGGAGAGGTGGGGGAGGAAGGAGGAGGGAAAAGAAAAACAAGAGAGAGAAAAAATAGTGAATTGGATTGTTCAAGCTACAAGAGGCTGATAAGAAAAATACAGTTGTTCTAGTGTAATGCAGTTCTCAGAGAGAAACCTTCCTATCTATTTATTGTGCAATGTATCTGGCAATAGTACAGTGATTTACTATTCCCTGTTTCAGGGTACTGCTACAAGACCATTATGAAAGATTAAACCGCATCTGTCTTTCCACAGCAAAGAATATTGTCTGTGTGCGAGCCAACCGCCTGCAAAATGTGCCCGAAAAACACAAACAAGTCGCTCAGGTAATGAAGAGCATGTGTGCATGTAGACAGAGAGTAAAGAAAAGACATGACAATGTTTCTTTGGGCAGAAACTCTATAGTTGAGGTTACACTGAGTTTTCATGATAAGTCTATTTTCACTTGCTTTGTAACACACTGAAATTGTCCAAGCTCAGCTCTGACTTAAAAGTAAGTAATTCTGAAAACTGAATCCAGTTAATGTCTCCATTCTTGCACATGCCGAGAATCATGGAGCCTTAGAACTGTACTAGGGTTGAATTCCTAAAAAGTCATTCTCTTTCTGCAGGGAGCTGAAACTTTCAAAGTGGCTTGTTTTCATTGAGAACTAATTTCACGATAACTTTTAATAGATACATTTAAGTGAGGCTATTAGCAGTAGAAAAATTAGTTTTGCAGGTTTGCAGTGTACACTATCTAATAAAGGTAGAATTATTATACTTTGTATAGGACTACAGTAGTATTTATCTGTACAACTTCATTCATATTTAGTGTTATGAGGAGTTTCTTCAGCAGTCCCCACTGGATCCTTGCCTCTTGTTTCATGAGGGTGGCCACTGGCGAGAACTCACAGTACGCACCAATAGCAGTGGACACACCATGGCCATCATCACTTTCCACCCCCAGGACCTTAATCAGGTGAATATGTTAGTGACATTAGTGACAATGATGGCTTTCCACCATCACTGTCCTGAATCCAGGAACGTTGCCAGTACCAAGCAATGTGAGTCAAAGTGGTATCAGTACGAGAACCATCTAGTTGATGGATTTACAGAACAAAGGGAATATTGGCAGTATTTAATACAAGAACTACTAATCCTGTGGAAGCATATCAGAGATAATATCTAAACTATGCTGCTCATGAGTGTTATTGCAGTGCTGATGCCAGAAACCAACCTAATGGCATTTTACAGTAACGCCAGTACAAAGTCTACCATGTTTATCGTAGATGTAATCATGGCAGTGCCAGACTATCTATCTCAGATGAACTAGCAATGGTGTATAGCTGAGGATAGGTATTATTATACTAATCAACATAACCAGATGCGTCTTTTTCTCTTGCTCTTGGCAGGAGGAACTGTGTACTCAGAAAACTTTGCTTAAGGAATTTTTCACTTGTGGGCCTGGAGCAGTCTGCGCCCTGACCTCACTCTATTTCCAAGAGAGGTAATTTTTTTTGACACCTGATAAAACTAGCATCATATCAGAAAGTGGAGAGAGAGGCAACAGGAATGGTGAAAATGAAATTCCACTGCTACTCTGTATTTCTTACCCTTATCCTCAAACCTGCAGTCCAACTACACTCCCATCAGGACAATTCAACTGACAAATGACAGTGATATTTGTTTGAGAAGCCCTTCTTCAGACACCATTTTAGGATACTCATGTCTTCACTGAGTATTTCAAAGCACTTTGGAAACATTAATAAATTATGCCTTGCAAAACCCCTATGAGGCAGGTAAATAAATATTATTACCCCTGTTTTACAAATTGGGAAACTAAAGAACAAAGCTTAAGCAACTTTCCCAAGCTTTCAAATAGAAGATCTCACTCCTGGTCTTCTGTTTAGACCACAATAATTAATTCCAGGTTTTGAAAGTGACAGAATTTTTGTAAATGGCCCCTTCAACTTGCTGAAAAATTCACAGAAAAGAAAAACTCAAAGGTGGTGCTTTAGACAAGAGAAGAAATCAGTCTGAGAACTGTTCTAGACCAGCAGTTCCCAGCCTTTTCCAGATGGGGACCCATTTTGACAATTCTGGAAGACTTGGTGACCCAAGGCAATTGGAAAACTGGGGGAGGGGAGGGAAGAGCCACCTGGGGAGACACTAGGCGACCCTTTTGAAATGTAATGGCGACCCATATTTGGGTTCCGAGCCATAGGTTGGGAAACCCTGTTCTAGGTGGAGATCAGGTCTAGATCAATGGATGTTTGGGTGGGGTGTGTTTTCCCTGTGATTTAGCACTGTACTAAAAGGAAATGAAATAAACTGTCCCTTTGCTGAAAAACCCTGTTCTCTGATGGACTGTCTTCTGATATCCCCTTCAAGTACCATGACTCGAAGCTCCCATCAGCAATCTCCCTATCAGCTCCTCTATGGAGAACCATACATCTTTGAGGAGGTCCTGGGTTTGAAGTTTCGCATCTCTCCAGATGCCTTTTTCCAAATCAACACAGCTGGGGCAGAAGTTCTGTACCAGACAGTTGGGAAGTTAAGCCAGGCTGATAAGAATACCATCCTTCTTGATGTCTGCTGTGGCACTGGTGAGAACTGACGATACAGAGGGGAGGACACAAGTTTGTGTTTAACAACGTCATGATTTTTATTCTGGTTGTGGAGGATATGGTCCAGCATTTGACCATTGCCTTGCTCCCTATTTCTCCATCTTTGAACCTTGGATTTCTTTCTTTCTCTTTCCAGGTGCTATTGGTCTCTCTCTGGCTCACCAAGCATCTAAGGTTGTTGGTGTCGAGATGGTGGAGCAGGCTGTAGAGGATGCGAGGTGGAATGCAGCAATCAATGGTGTGAGGAAGGAGTTTAAAATCCGCTGCTGCAAAATGCAAAGCATTTCCTAAGTGGAGGTCTCGTAGTAGTCCCAAGGAGTCTTGCAGATATTCCAGTAAAAGGGAGAAGCTGTGTGCTATAAACACTTCACTCCTTCCTTTCCTACTTCACAACAATGCTCCTTCTCCTGCTATATTAACTTTGTGATGTGAAAGGGTCTTAATGGCTAAAGAGAATGGAGGGAGATGGCAGTGGAGACAATCTAGACTTGATATCAGGTCCTCATGCCTTTGCTACCTCCACTTTACAAAAGAGCAAAGGTTCACATGCACTCTGACCCACACCCCAAGACGAACATGCCAGCTTGGATTCCACATGTACCCTGGGGCTTTGAGTCTACATGACGGGGTAGGGGGCGGAGAATAGGCAAGGACTTGCAGCTCCCCACACAAAAAGTCAGCCATGTAGACATCCTTCAGAAAAGAATGGGGGAAAGTGACAGGGGTAGGAGATGATTTGGGAGTGCAGGCAGGGAGAATCTGTAAGTTCTGTGTTGATATGAAACGCATCCCTATACCAGGTGTGTCCCCATGAGAAATGCACCCTCTTGGGATGAGTTACCCTGAGGTTTGCTGTGTCTGAAGAGTCCCTCTCTCTTTGTCTTCCAGTGGGATAGATTCTGTGTTGCAGGGCGCATGACTTTGGGTGAATGATTTTTCTGCACAGGAATCTCAAACTGTGAGTTTCACAGTGGAAAGGCGGAGGTGGTGTTGCCACAGTTCTTGATGTCACGAGAAGACGATCAGCCCCTTGTGGTAGTGGTGAACCCATCCCGGGCTGGACTCCGTAAGAGAACAGATTCTTTCTTTTGGATACCTGACAATCTCTCTTGTTTTGAAGGGCAAAAATACAGCCAAGAAAACATAGAAAGTCTCATATTGTTATAATCCATTTAGTTAATTATTCTGACATCAAAATGGCCAACACCGGCTGCTTCAGAGGAAAGTGCAAGAAATCCTGTGGTAGGCACTGAGGGTATGTCTACACTGCATTCCTCTTTCGAGAGAGGAATGCAAATACAGAGGAATAAAATTGCAAATGAAGCATGGATCTGAATTTTCCATGCTTCATTTGCATAATCGTATCCGGGTGCTATTTCGAAATACCCTATTTTGAAAAAAGAAACATTGTCTAGACGCAGTTATTTCAAAAGAAAACCCTTCTTTCAAAGTTACCCTTACTCCTTATAAAATGAGGTTTAAGAGTAATTTCGAAAGAGGGATTTTCTTTCTTTCTCTTTCGAAAGAGGCATACAGGATCTTTCGAAATGGGGTATTTCTGTCAAAAATGCTCCGTCTAAACTGCATGCAACAGTATTTCTTTTACTTGGATTAAAATATGATGCCTTTCAATTTAATCAACTGTACCCCCGCTCTAGTTTTGAGAGAGGATGAATAGAAGTACCCTATATACCTTCCCTAAACCACTTATTATTTTGCTACATCTTTATCAGTTTTCCTCTTTTTAAATAGTTGCGGTCTTTTAAATCCTTCTTGATACGGAAGTTTGTGCATGCTTCTCATCAATTTGGCGAGAGAGTTCATCTGCTAGCTCCAGTGTTCCCTGTAAACTGAGCACTTGGGTGGCCACCTAGGAGAGATTAAAATCCCGCCCATCTGATTAGCAGAGCGCTTACAGCCAGCAGCATGTGTTCCTACTGGTGGTGCACACTGCACATGCCTTGGTGCACATAACAAAATTTATTCTGCAAATGGATGAAAAAAAAGTAGTGGGAACGTTGACCAACCATCTTGGATTCTACTAGTATGGTCTGCCTTGCAACAGTGACAGTAATCTGCCCCCTTGGGCCCTAATCCCTTGTGTTTCCCCCTCTGCCTTTCTTTTCCCTCTGGGAAGGGTGAACAGTTTTTCATCCAAATGTAGTTCTGTGATACTGGCTTTATAGCAAAATGTTAATCAGTCCTTAGGAAAACCTCTATTCTTGGGGTGTTGGTCTATGTAAACATCTGATGTTTTTCTGTTCTCAGATTATCGTGTGGTGCGGGCCATTCGAAACTGCGAGGCCACCCGGACCCTGATCTATGTTTCCTGCAAGCCTGACGGAGAAGCCATGAGGAACTTTCTTGAGTGAGAAGGAGCCCCATTTTTGTTGTTTTTTATTTTGTCTCTGTTACGAGGGAGAAGTGCCATGCCCAGAGCATGACAAAGGCATGAAATTGCTTGGGGAGGTTTTCATTTGGAGTGAATCTTATTGGAGTTGGTCCTGTAGGAATCAGCCCTGCCCACCTAGCACATGATCAGTGGTTACTACACCTGTGTGTCGTGTCTATTCACAAGCTGCACACTGTGATAAAAGGCTTCCCGATCATAGTAAAGAATTCAGTGAGGATGTGGGCTCAGTGCATAACTGTTCTTTAAAAAACATAAGAAAACAAAAAAAAAGTGAGGGGAGGGGGAAAAGTGAGTGAGATGCTTAAATGCATTAAAAAAGGGATAGAAAATCATGCAAAACTTATTTGAATGGCACTGAATCAGAGAGGCCGCACGCCTTCATCTAAGTTACAGTATCTAGTATATTCACCATAAAGAAAATAAAATCCGATTTGGCAAACAAAGTCAATGGGACCATTCACATGCTTATAGTTAATCACATGGTTAAATATCTTGTTCAGGCAGAGTCTTATAACAGATAACAAAAAGTCGATGGAACAGTGAAGATGTTAGAATGCATAACCTTGGATTATTTTCTAATGGTATAATGCCTTTCCTAGCTCTGGCATTTTGTAAGAAATCAAATCTTAAATTTGTTCCTGATCATTCAGATTAGCTATGCTCTGTTGGAATTGGTCCAAGAGAGTAGAGGTGCCAGAGCTCAAATAATTGTCAGTTTCAGTCTGGGTGATTGTTCGTTCCCAAATAATAAGTATCTTCAGTACATCTGAATTTTTTTATGGGTTGCTACCACTAAAGAAAAGAAAACAGAGAGGGGAAGGATTTTAAAACAAACACTCTTCTGGATCTGGATTAATGGGAAAACTCTGATGCCTTTTGATTCTTCTTCTTCTTCTTCTTCTTCTTCTTTTGTAATAGGTTTTGCTGCCCACCAGACTCTAGAAAGAAGCTTGTAGGAGAGCCATTTGTCCCTCTATTGGCTGTCCCAGTTGACATGTTTCCCCACACCATGCACTGTGAGCTGGTGATGGTCTTCACCCGCTGAGGGGTCATCCTGGTATATGTGTTTCCCACAAAACAGGACTTCATACCTTTAAAAGTGGGAGATGGGACAGAACTACAAATGTTCAGAAAGCTGGAATGGATATGGCTCAGATGTAACCTATTATTTTGAAAGTTGTAAATTAAAACTCTTTTGGGAATTTTCAGCCTGTCTTGCTATGCTGTCCTTTGCATATCTGAAGAAATATGAAGCCTGTGTATACTGAGATTTTCTGTTTGAAAAGATCCTTGGTTGCAGTTTCTTTTTCCCATTTAAACCTTATCCCCTTTGCTAGGCTATCAAAATGGCATAGGTACCTCTTAGCCCCCGGTCTGCTGTTCTGAGATTTCATGAAACTGCTTTAAATATGCTAAATACAAGTCAAACCCTTTGTACTTTGTGTTTCATTTTTATCTAAATAGCATGGCAATAGCACAAGACAATTAAGATTAAAGAAGTTCGTAGTGACCCTACCTAGTATAAAATTGCAGGGACTATTAATCATTCATGCTTCATGGCAGAACCTGATCACCTGTTAGGGGAAGGGTGGGCACTAACATGGCAGTGGTTCATCAGGGTTAGCCCCTGGTGGGCCGCTGTAGTTAGATTTACCTGTTTAAGAGTAAAGTGGCTGTGGATAAGAAATTCCTTTGCTAAGTCTGTTTCTTACTACACTGCCATATTGTCACAAGTGGGGTAATGAAGAAACCAAAGCTCCCATAGCCAGGTGCACTCTGTGGAAAAATATGTCTAAGTCACTGGTGCCGAGAGGGCTGTGGCAGTGAGTGGTTCCATGTTTAGGTTGAGGAACTACGGGTTTCCATGATCTAAGAAGGGTATCCAACATAGGGTCTGCACCTCCAAGTGTGTCTGAAAGACCCAGAACTAGGAACAGTGACCAGACACTTCTCAGATGCAGCAGGCTTTGAAGCAAGAGGGCCCAGGAGTTGGGTCTGTTTACAACAGGCTGGAACACATTCAGAAGAGGGGGCAGGGTCTGGTTATTACAGATGCATACTTTGTCGCATTCTTTTGTTTTCTGCTAGCCCGCTGTAATAGGCTAGCCCTGCGATGAACTGGAGTTCGGTTTATACCACTTCTGAGTTTGGGATGATTTTATGAAATTGTACCATGAAATTACTCGGCCATGCAAAGATAATATGTATGTGATTTCCACCATGAGTTGGAAAGGTTGGGTCATCATATTTCTGCCAGGCAAGAGTCAGTGCTGAATGAGCACTCCGATATCATTAAGGCTGCTTGTGATGGGGCGAGGCAGCCCTGCACTGACTCCACAGGGCCCAGCCAGAGTTACCTGGCTGCAGCCCTACCAAGCATGCCCCCGCAGCCCTACCAAGCATGCCCAGGCTGTAGCTCAACTATAAAAGCCTGGGAAAGGGTTCGGTCTGGGCTGGCAGCCGGTGGAGAAGGACCTAGGAAGGAAGCTCCTGACCACCAGCGACCCGAGACACCAAGAGAAGCCAGCGGAGACACCGAGGTGAGTTGGGGCATCGCAGAGGCTGCTCACCGAGGAGACGTCGCCTCAGGGAGGGCAGCAAACCTGACAAGTATGTGGGAAGTAGCTCCAGCGGACCAGGTAAGAAGTGGCCTAGGGCAGGAACAGGAGCCACCTCGGTGTGTTTTAGCAGGACTTCCCCGCCGAGGGAGTGGCACGCCGTCCTGTCACTCACAGGGCCCTGGGCCGGGACCCGGTGGAGTAGGGTGGGTCCAGGTCCCCCTACCTAGGGTGCAACCCCGCTATAACCCGGTTCTGCCAGCGCAGGCCTTACCTTAAGGGGCCACACTGAGCCTGTTTGTGGACTCAGGCCGGAGGGCCTTGCCTTACAAGGCTATACAGAGACTGTACTCATGGACTTGGGCCCGTAAGCCTGGTTCTAGAGGGGTAGCCGGTATCAGGGTTCGTGGACGCGGGGTCCCTCCCTGTCCGCCAGAGGAGACAGGAGGGAGCGCCCCGCCACACTGCTATTTAAACGTGTATCTTGAATAAAAGCCATGGACAGGTCACAGGCAAGAAACAAAAAAATCCCAGCTGGTGACATGTCCATGATTAATACCATAAATACCCCTATTTGAATCTTGGGGGGAGCCAAGGAACCAGCTGTGGGGGAGAGAGTCCAAGGGGGGGTGCAGCACCAGCTTGCAGGAGGTGGGAACTCTGGGGGACCAGCTGCAATCCTCTTGTCTGAAAGCAAGGGGGATTGACAGCAATGGAAAATTACCAAAAGGTGGAACAAAAGCAGCAGGGGTGCCCTGCTG